AGTAGGGAAGAGAGCTGATAAGTTATCACCCATCATGATCAAGAATTCAATGCAAGAACACTGGAAAAGTAAATTTGATCCAAATCAAGTCTTCAACTTATGCAACCGATATACTATATATGATACGTAATTATGAGATAAGTTTGTGCACTTACATATAGTTCAAGATACAAGATTGTCTGCATATATAAAATAAATCTACATTAGTTCTTTAGAAAGTACAGACCACAAAAAATATCCATCCATAAAACAAGATTCTACTTGTGATAGAAAGAGCTGCCCAAAACTTAAAATGTGGTTTTGGGTTTCTGTATTAGTTAGATAGATGTGATGGATTAAGACTTACAGCTACAAATACACGACCGCTAGTGCCAAACGCAGCCTGCCCGATATCTGGATAAGTCTCAAGTCCAGGAGAGCTTTCTAAGCATCTCTTTAACAAAATCCCAGTGTAACAAGTAATGATCCCATAAAGAAGGAGCAGAAATAGGCTCAGCCACCCACCTTCTTTAACAGCATAAGGAGTGGCAAGAATTCCTATGCCACACAACACGTTTATAGCTGAACACAATGCACAATAATCAAGAATAATGCCCATCAGATCAGAAGTTGTCTCACAATTAATTGACATAATAAATTACACGACGTTGAAATTAAGGTGATAACGAAATGCATAATGGGATGAGATTAGCTCACAATTAACTAGTGATTGGGCATATGAACACTCTTGTGGTGGTGGCAATTCAGGGAGAGAGAATCGCGATATCGAAGTGGCAGTTGAAATCTTTGTAGGAAGGGTTGAAGTGGGAACTTCATCATCATTCAAACAAATAGTTTCGGCTATGAGAGGTTTACTCAGAGAAGACTGAACAACCACAATGGATTGAGGCCTCCTGCTGTATGCTGAAGTGGAAGGTGAACTGCCCCTTAAGAAGCTTACTGATGGAGAAACTACACTTGTGTACATGTCCATTGACTGCCTATACACATTCAATCCAACTGTTAATTCACCGGTTTTCAGTTTTTTGGGTAACTAAAAATCAAATTCTGAAAAGAAGAAAATGTTGCTCTCCGCTTTTCGTCAGCAGTATTGGGACCGCAAGACTCTCACTCTGACCCCGTATTAGCATGATATTCTCTGCTTTGGACCAAACTGTTGCGGATTTGTTTTTAAGCACATTCCAAAAAGACTACATAGTAATTGGGTTGGATTGAACCTACTTATGGAGTCAACTTTGTTCTCTCCCAGCACCGGGTGTGGGACTAGATTGTCATCCCAACAAGTAATTCTCTAAATTAAAGCATGCTACGTTTTTTATCATTTTCTAATGGTGCGAATTAACTTTGAAAATTTTAACATTAAAATATCATGTTCAAGTTGCCGAAGTCCTTAAGCTAATTAGTATGAACATGACTATATTAAATTCATTATACAATTGAAATCAAAACCTTTAAAACTTGCAAGATTAAACATTGAAAACTGTCAAAGAGTTTCACAAATCACAATGATATTTGGAACCAACACATTCTAATGTCCTTTTTGAAAAACTAATCGAGGAAAAAACACAAATTAATATACATCTGATTTTTACACTTCCCCAGATTTTCAGAGGTCAGGATTTTGTTTTCGTGCACGCAAAAAAAAGAAAAACGGGGAAAACAGGGATATATACCTGTAACTTTGAGGCCAATGAGAAATAAGCGAGCCGGCGACATTATCAGATGGATTTCTGGAAGGGGCGGCGGCTGGATAATGTTCGGAGTCTGTATCGTCGGTATCGTCGTCGGCAGTTTCGGCCTCATTATCTTCGTCGTCTGTTTCTATATGGATCACCCTGTCCGCCCCAAATTCCTCGTCCAGCTTCATCTCAATCTCCTGAAATTTCTTCAATTACTCTGCTGATCTCTTTTCCGATTCAGGGAATGATTATAAAATAAACTGAACAGTCCGGTGCACCCATGCAACCTCTAAGCAATTACTCGTTGAGGAATAATGCCATTCTCATAACTTGCCCAAGATTTAGAATACTCACTAGTTTTGACTTTCGGTGGTTTTTTGAGTAGAGTTAAAAAAAGTAAAAATTTATCATAAAATTCTTAATGAAAATAAGTGAAATGTATTAAATGAGGTAGGTGAGGTGTGATAAATAAAGTAAGTGAGGGTACCTATAGTACGCAGTATTTTAATTGTTAAAAAAAATAATGAAAAAATCTATGATAGACAAATAAAAAGAGCTAATGAAAAGATCTATGAGGGACGAAAGAAGTAATATTTCATTGAAAAAATTCACATCATTATTCTTACAATTGCACAATTTTTATAAATTCTCTTGATGGAAATAAACTCCACCGAAGAATCCAATCCGGAAGGCCGAACCCGGTCGTAATAATGAATGGAAGTAATTGATGGGCTATTGGACCCGTGCGGTCTAGGCCCGACCCAATATCCACGAGGGACCAGAGAAATCTAGGTGAAGCGAAAGGCCGACTTCTGAACAGCCCAGTCCTCAAGGAGGAGTTGATGGGCTTCTGGCCCGGCCCGACTGTGCATAACGAAAGAGTCCTCCACATATCATGGGATTGACTGTTGAGTGTTACTTCAAAGTCCCACATCGGTGGGATAGGAAAATTGAGATGGGATTGGAACCTATAAATAGAGAGGGGGTATAGGCTTCCAACACACAACACAATTCTTCAATCAATCTATATAATTGTGTATTAGATTTTAGGTTGTAAGTGTCAAATATTGGAGAGAGTTTGTAATTTTTCCGTGCAAATATTACTAGTGAATTTCTATCCAGAGGGGGTCGTGGAGTAGGTCTTGAGGTGCCAAACCACGTTAAAAATTTTGTGTGCTCTTTTTCTCTTTCCATTTGTTTGCAATGGGGGCCTAACAAGTGGTATCGGAGCCAAGGCGCAGGGCCCGGGTGATCCAAAAATTATAATTCTTAGTATGCTCTGTGGTTGCAGCTTTGACTGATCTTCCACATCAGAAAATAATTATTAATTACAGAGTTGCGGTTTAGGGAGGAAGGAGATAGAGCAAGGAGCAAGAGGAGGGAGTGCCACTTCAGCGGAGGAGGAGGTGGTCCAGTCAGCACAGGTGGTTCCGTGAGTGCCACGTCAGTAGTTTGTGGGTCCAAGTGCCACGTCATCATCCAGTTAGCGCCACATCAGCAGGTCTAGTCATAGTGTGGGTCCCGCTGGTGATTTTTGGAGAGAAGTTGGTTCTGACTAATTTTGATGTCTTAATTCCATTTTTGAGGCCAGTTTCCTCAAATTTGGATTGTTTGGTATTGGTTGATTGCTGCTTGAGTGGAACTATGACTACCTTGAAGTTTGAAGTTCCGTTATTTGATGGAAGAGCAGACTTTATGTTGTGGCAATGCACGATTGCTGCTTGAGTGGAACTATGACTACCTTGAAGGTCTACGTAGTTATGAGGAGAAGTAGAATTGAAACGACAAGATGATCGAGTGTAATAATGAGAGTGGGAATGGAGCGCGTAGAACCCCCACGATCTACCGAGTTCATGAGGGGATCAAATGGCTACTGCGCCCTTCATGAGAAACGACACTCGATTACGAAGAGACCTAGATATATGATGGCATGTGTACGGTCGCGTTGAGGACAACCTGAAAACAATTACTCACTCCTCACCCCTCAAAATCCCTTTAGGGCACGAAAACTGGGATTTTTGCCCTCCGAGTTCCAGGCCCGACCTTATCCCCTGCGAGAAGTTCACTCATAACATTGGCAGGATGAGGCAGGCTACCTGATGGGTCAGGCGCATGGGGACAAACTCTTTCCACGGGGTGATTGCTCCTAATTTCAAAATGGACGGTAGAGACATAGCTGAGCAAGTGAGCAACGATGGTGGAGAAAGACCACCGCGCGAGGCTGAGCCTTCAATATTGATCACCTTTCTTGTAATAACTCAAAACTAGACCTATAGAAAGAGGTGATAGCCATTGTAAACACGGGAGTCAACATAGCTTATAATTTTATTGTTCCATGTACTAGTAACTAAGAAGAAAGTTTTAAGACGGAGCATAACTTTAGATCATTCTTCATAACTAATCTAATTTAATTGTGTTTACATTCAAACTCTATGTATTAAAATAGAAGTTTCATATTTTTATTACCAAGATAGAAGTGACAATATAAATAACGTGAATATATAAAATCAAAAATACTACTCCCTCCGTCCCTCTGCATTTGTCCACATTCGACTTTTGGAACTGTTCATCTAAGCACTTTGACCCATCAAATTCTCTCAATGTGTAAGCCTAAATATAGCCATGTGTGATCTTGTTTGATTTGTCTTAACATATACTCCCTCCGTCCTATAATGTTCTTCCTGGTTCTGTTTACGAAGTTTGACCGACTTTATTTTTAATTCAATTTATTTGATTGTTGTAGGTGTAAAATTAAAAAATAAAATTTATATATTTAAAAACTGCATCAAAAGTTCTACAAAACAAGAGGTGACAAGACTATATTATTTTATCAAATACTTAATGAAAATAGGTAAAGAAAGTGATTAAAGTTTGACCGTGTGAATAGTAAGTGGGAAGAACATTTCAGGACGGAGGGAGTAGATTATTAATATATAATTTTTATAATTTTTTAATATACAAATTACAAGATAAAATAGATTAAAGAAGTGCATTGGATGGTGTGCAAAAATGAAAGTGGACAAATACAGAGAGACGGAGGGAGTATGTAATATCAATATAGATGTTACATTGTCGTAATGCAAATTTCTAATTTGGTGATAAAAATATGAAGCTTATATCTTAGAAATAAATCATTATGTGGTGATAAAAAAAAGAGGGAGTGACTCTGTAACATGGAATAGAATTTTGAGAATCCATAATGAACTTGTTGCTCATACTACCCACCAAGAGGAGGTTACAATATGGGATATGATGCAAGTGACTCCACTTTTAACAAGGCATTTGTATGTTCCACTAAATTGATGGATCACCTTCCTTCTTTTGGAATCTCCTAAACAATGCACTCCCCTTATCAGTGATCTCCCTCTTTTAAAATGTGACATTCCAAGCAAGTTTTGGACTCATTTCTCCTTATTGATGGACCCCTATCTTTATAGGCAATTCTACCCTTAAACAGTATCTCTTGCTATGTTCTCTCAGGGCCAAGAAGAAAATCTTACATACAGATCAAGAACACCTACCTTTAGTGTGCTTTATCAAGAATATAATCATCACTTGATGTTAAATGACTCATTTGCCCTTTTAATTTATTTCTTGTCCACCCCATTTATTTACTCATCCATCCAAGTATCTAACTCCAATTTCAACCTAAATCTGCTAGATACAATACAGAACATTCTCTGTTTTTCAGAAAGGCAATGGGGAATGAGGCGAATGAGTTGATGAAGAAGCAAAAGTAGTGCCCATCTGAGATGGGCTCAACTCACATGGCTCTTCATTATTCTTGTTATGATCATCATCATCCCCACCATTATTGTTCTGATGATGATGAAGATGAAGATGATCTGGGTCCCAGCTCACAATCTCTGGCAATTGAGCTTCTCCCTTCAAGTAGCTCAACACCTGTCTAATGCTCGGCCTCGCCGACGGCTCATTCCCGGAGCAAATCAGCCCCAATTTGAGCACCATCTCCGCCTCCTCCTCCTTGAACCGCCCTTTCAACCGCCAGTCCACCACCTCCAAAATCCTCCCCTCCCTTAACTTATCCCACACCCAGTCCACCAAAAGCATCTCCTTTATCTGCACCCCCGCCTTCACCTCGATCGGCCTCCGCCCGCACACCACCTCCAGCACCAGCGCCCCGAACGCGAACACGTCCGTCTTCGTGGTGGCCACTCCCGTCCTCGAGAGCTCCGGGGCCAGGTATCCCAGCGTCCCCACCACGCGCGTCGCCCCCGGGTGGGTCCCGTGCTCGTGGAGCCTCGCCAGGCCGAAGTCCCCCAGCCGGCCGTTCATCTCCCCGTCCAACAACACGTTGCTCGCCTTCACGTCGCGGTGGATCACCGCCTGCTCGTACTCCTCGTGAAGGTACAGCAGCCCGGCGGCGACGCCGTTGATGACGTTGAACCTCTGCTCCCAGGTTAACACCGCCCTCGGACGGTCGAACAAGAAACCGTCCAAGCTCCCGTTTGGCATGTAGTCATAGACCAGCATTAGGTCGCACCGGGTCCGGCACCATCCTAGTAACTGCACAAGATTCCGGTGTCGGAGCCTCCCGATTGTCGAGATTTCCGACACGAATTCCCGTAGTCCCTGTCTGGATTCATTCGAAACTCTCTTCACTGCTACTTCTGTTTTCGAATTTGGCAAAATCCCTTTGTATACCTGTTCAAGATCATTTGGGATGCCTTCAAAAATGGAGTCTTTTTTTCCCCACAATTAATTTAGTTCAAATTAGATTAGATTTTATACCTGACCAAATCCGCCCTGTCCGAGTAACACGCTGTTCTTGAAACCACCGGTGGCCTTCTTGAGTTCACTGTAGGAATACCTGTGGGGACCAATCTCGAGCTCCCATGATTCAACCACGTCAGCGTTCTTGATTTTCTTGAACACGAAAAAGCTGACCAAGACCGACACCAAGGCCAAGACCGCCGCCGAGATAGAAGCGGAGAGAACGAGAGCCAGGTGTCTCCTCTTGACTCCGGGGAGCGACGGGAGGGAATGAAGGTTGATGCTTTCGGCCTCGCCGTTCATTTTGAAGCTCCACCCGAGAATATAGTGAGCTCCGGCGAGGGCGCCGGTGGAGGCAGAGAAGCCGACGTACATATTCTCCTCCAGAATCCGGGACAGGTCCAACCGATGCGACAAAAGAGGAAGCTTGGGTTTCGAAGAAGACGGCGAAAGGGTGACATTTACGAGGTTCGAAGCGGAATCGTACTCGACCCAGACCAGAATTACCTTTCCACCCCTGAGATTCAGATCTCGTTTGTTCAGGGCATCTGTGACGTAAGCCGCCGGAGCCGACTCGTTGGACACCATGCTGTTGACGTTGATCCCAACATGGTTATCATTAATATCTTCAAACTCAAAATCTTGAACGCTGTCAAACTCGACGGCGAACAGATGGTCGGACTCATTCCCGACGTCGTGGGCGTTGAGAAGGCCCAAGTACTGGCTGGGGAGAGCGGTGCTGAAATTCCGGGTACCGGAAATCGTGAATGCCAGACCATGGCCGCCCAGCTTCTCGTATTCGGGGACCATCGCGAAGGCGAAGCAGGTGGAGAAGGAGAGAGCAGAGCCGGCGGCGGAGGTCTTGAACCGGAAGGGTGAGGAATAGAAGGCGTGGCCCATTACCCGGTGGGACTGGTTGGTCAGCAGAAGAACCCCGTCTTCCGCCACGGCGGCGACCCCGCTCAGGCTTATGTCGGTGTTCGGTTCATTGAATCTGGTGAAGATGAATCCGTCGTCTTGGTGCGGCGGAGATGGAGCGGCAGGGATTAGTAATAAGTGGAAGATGAAAGCACAGGTGATGATAAGTGGGTTTATAACACTTACCATCACAGATTCTTCGAGAATGGAGTTTTAGGGCAAGATTTTGTGGGAAATAATACGGACGAGGAAAGAATAAGAAGAAGGAGAGGAAGAAGGAGGAGGAAGAGCTTCATAAAGATTGTTTATGGGTACGGTATTGGATGGGTGGGTGGTATGGCCAAACGGTTTGCAAGTTGGTTTGAATGAGAAGGGGGGGGGGGGGCGGGGGGGCACATGGGGCTTTAAAGAGAAGGGATTCCAATTCAAGTCAAGAAAAGAAGCCACAAGAATGCATCATTCGGGGTAGATTGATCCAATGGTGCACTTTTTATTTTATATGCACAAATTAGATAGGATGCCACTTCTTAACATTGATTGATTTCTACCTGCGCCCTTGGAACTAAGGGCACTGGAAATGGAAATGGGTATGACGCCTGAGGATTTCATCCGGTGTTTAATGCCCGAGCAGCTTTAAACACCGCTCACCTCTTGCGTTGTTCGGGTGCCACTTGATGCGCGTCAGATGTTTAACGCACAATGGAGCAAAAGAATTGAATCCTTGGCCCAAACGGCTTTATTGCCGCTCGGCATTACATTAAAAAGATTATTTTCAATATTATAAATATCTCTTATTTTTAACACAACAAACACACACAGCCTATTTTCATTTTTTTCCCATAATTCCTCCAAAATATGTATTATTTCTTTTAATTATCTTTACAAAATATTTGAAAAATAAGATCATCATCTGACGATGAAAAAAAGTTCTCATTTTTCATTGTTTCGCGACGGGTTGTTACCAATGCTGGCAACAAGGCCAACGAGAACAAGCGGAATCGTCTCGACACCCGACTCGACGTGAGCGTTTAAACTGTGATCAGGCGTTACACAATGACTACTTCAATACTCCGCGTGTTTACACACCGGATGATTGTAGTAATCGTTTTCGAATGATTCTGTTAGAGTGCATCCCACATCGGAAGTTCAAGAGTAAAATAATGCGGTATATAAGCTCTTGAGTTAAACTAACTAATCGATTGGATTCAATCTTTTTATGTGGTTCAGCCCAAGTGTCTTATTACTCAATCGAATTGTCCATACCCATCCCAAATTCTATCATGGTATCGGAGCAGGTTTTGGCCCACCTCGTTTGTCAAGGTGCCCGTTAGTCTTTAGCCCAGTTATCCGTATGGAGTATGTATCCAACGGCCTGTGGCCCGTTTAACACGATTGCTCGTCTGGAAGTCCATACCCAGAGGCTCGTGGTCCTTTAGGTGTTGGCGCTCAAAAAAAATATTAAGGGAATGGGAGTTTATTTGCAAGTGGTCAACCAGTTAGATTCAAAATGACCCGGTTGTCCACTTGTGGGGGAGTGTTAGAGTGCATCCCACATCGGTAGTCCAAGAGTAAAATAATCCGGTATATAAGATCTTGAGTTAAACTAACTAATCGATTGGATTCAATCTTTTAATGTGGTTCAGCCCAAGTGTCTTATTACCCAATTGAGTTGTCCATACCCATCCCAAATTCTATCAGATTCATTCTCCTTTTTATGCATACTAGTCAATATTGAATGCGAGGTGCCTTGGTTTACCCAGTGCTTTGATGAGAGGAGGCCGGCATAGTTTTAGCAGCGTCCTGAAGTGCACCGTCGCGCTCCGTCAGATGGTGTACAAGATGATATTTGATATGTTCGACGAATATTTGAAGATGTTAGATCGGAGCATCAGCTCATGTGTTTATGAATTTTCTAAATTTATTATTCGACTTTACCATAAAAGGTATTTACGTAAGCAGCGAGTGACATTGAGCAGTACATGCTTGACATGCCGCTAAACACATTTTTGGCGGCATGCTTGGGAGCATCGATAGGAATGGAAAAATTGTCTCACTGCATGGCATGGTAAGTTCTCTCGAGGTAATCATCCCAAGCCTACTATCATGCTCGAAGATGTGGCTTCTAATGACTTAAGGTTTTGGCATACTTTTTTTGGTGTTGCGGGCTCGAACAATAATGACATCAATGTTCTTAATTAATTGCCTGTTTTTTAATGATTAGGAAAATGAGACTGCAACCGACTCGTCTAATGAGCTTAGATGGATGCTTTAGAATCGTGGATATTATATTGTAGATGGAATATATCCAGATTCTTCCAAGATTGTCAGGTCCCTCTCTGAACCAATGGATTTTAAATGTCAGACCTACAAAAAATCTCATGTGCTCTAAATACTCCGATGTACTCTTTAAATCAACCATTTGGTTAGAGTTAAGTTTAAAGAAGGCGTGTTAAGAAGTAGACTCAATCACGGGTTCGAATATCTGACATTTTGACTTACCCACAAAAGCCTGCCCACAAAAATAAAGAGCATAAGCTTGATATTTTAGAGAAAGGGCCGTGTTCGAGCTTTATAAATGAGGCCCCGTGTACTTTAGGGCTGGACTCAGATTTTATGCTCAAACCCACAAATTGGTTCGGTCCAAATAATAATTACTTAAATTACAATAAAGTAGTAATAACAATATTAATAATAATAAAAACAACAATACTACTTCAAAAGTATGTAAATAAAAAAAACTTACATATTTCAAAAGTACGTCAAAACTACAAAAAAAGAAATGACAAGAATATTTTATTTCATCAAATAGTTAATGAAATCACACAAATAAACAAAAGTTCCCGTGATTTTGATTAGTAAAGTGTGTAAATCATTTAGGGACGGAGGGAGTATTAAATACGACAAGGTTCCATTGATACTAGGATCCAATATCAACGGTTGACATTTGCTCATTTGGAGCCCCTCCGGTGCTTGTTCTTAAAATTGATGGTTACTATTCGCCCTAATCCTCTCTCTAAACCCTCGCAGCACCCTCACTCCAACTCGACCCCTGAACCCCCACCCTAAACCCTCCTTTTACCCCTCCAAATGTGTGGCTCAAATACATTGCACAATAGTCACACATTTGGAAGGGATACAAGGAGGATCTAAGGTAGGGATGTAGGGGTCGGGTTGAGGTGCGGTGGGGGATTTAGAGAGGGGTTAGGGTGAGTAGAAACCATCAATTTTAGGAATATACAGAGCACTGGAGGAGCTCCAAATGAGTGAGTGTCATCCGTTGACAATGGAACCTTGCCGTATAATAAATAATTGAAATATTAAATAAATGATATATAAAAAGTACGTAGTACAACTGTATGTTTTTGTGCACTTCATTTTGACTAAATATATTCCGTTAATTAGATAATATAACCTCAAAAATACACATTAACTATCTCATTTAAGCTAATTTTTAAGTATAAAGTTGTCGAGAAAGTCTAAAATAACACTAGTGCTATTGGTGTCATTTGCTTACAACACTTCGTTTGGGGTACTTACGATTCCTGTTCGTAAAAATGTCAATTCCTACCGCTCCTAACCCTCCCCTGATCCCCCTCCAGCCCACTCGTGCCCCCACCTCAGTCCTCCACCCACCCCCTCCCTACCCTGGCAGTATATACTACTAGGGTAGGGGGTAGGGAGGCGGTGGGAGGAGGGGCTGGGGTGGGGGGAAGGGGTGAAGCTAGGGTGGGGGGTTTTAGGGGAGGATTAAGAGGGGTAGGAAATGTCATTTTTACGAACGGGTACTGTAATGCCCCAAAACCTTGCTTAGTACTTTTTATTAATTTATATAATTAATTATTGAGTCGGTCAATACGAAGATTATTTTATAATTTGAATTTTTAACATGAGGGTTTATCCTACGTTGTAGAGCTCACTGTTATGAACCTGACCACGGAAACAAATCGTGAATCTGACTTATTGGGCCCAAGATACGATTGACGAATTAGGTAATTGCGCTTAAACTTGTCTTAATTAGACAAGGAAGTGTAAATTGGACCCTAGAGCCTATTTAATTATATAAAAACATCAAGGGAAGGGGGTAACACACGATCTAATTCTTTCGCTCGTTCCTGTTTGTTGTTCGTCCGTTTCTTCTGCACGGCTTGTAACGCCCCAAAATATACCCTAAAAGAAATATTGAATTATTATTTAATAAATAAATTTGTTTGGATTAAAATAATTTTTTGTTTGGCTTTGGACCTAAATAAAATGTGTTTTTATATCTAATATCACAATATGGATAAATCCCATAGAGATAAATCTAATATATTGACTTTATGTGTGATCTTAATTGAGAACCAAAGTACGGACCCAAATTAAGAGTAAATGGAGGAACTGTTTATGATGTGAATCTTGAAGTTATTATTGAAAATAAATCATGAGAATAAATAATATGAATTGGATGAGAGAACCTTTTTAAATAAAAGTCAATTAAATCAATTTTGACTCTGTCAAAGTCAAACACCCAAAAATATGATGTCAGAAAAAGTATTACAAAGAAATATAAAAATTATATCGTTGGATAGAGTTTAACTGTCTGATTGCAACGGTGCAAACATGACTCAATTCGGAGAAAGTTCGACCAAAAAGTGTATCCCGACTGGAACCAAAATTGGTCCCAATCAAAAAGACTGTACAGACAGCGCCTCCCAGCCCACTAGCCGATTGTGAATCTTCTAATGCTCAGCAACCTATGTCTTCTTCTTCCTCAACTCCACCATATATGTAGAGCTAAACATTCTCAATTCTTCACCATAATTTATAATTCCTTCTTCTATTCTTTTGTTCTAAGTGAGAAAAACGCAATGGTGTTGTCAATTTGGTGAGAGGTCACCGGAGTTGGGAGTAATCATCGCCGGAAGTTTCATCGGAAAATTTCTAAAACCTTCGTTAAGCTTTGAGGTAAGCCCGTAGATATATCTAGTGACTAGAATGTTCCTATAAATCGTATCCACGTTCATAAACGGTCGTTTGGTACTGTTTTGTGTTTGACATGTTTGTAGAACCAAGAATCAAAAACCTTGGAATTGTTGCTAAAACTATGAACTAAAGATACCCAAATGATCATGAACATTGGAGAACATTTCTATATAGTTTAATTGAAGTTTGGTGACTAAAAATGATATTTCCGAAAATGGACTCGAGGAAGAAGATGATGAACAGTGCATGGTA